ATTGGCCTGACATCAAGCTTGTGTGACCAACTGTCTCTTTCCTTGGCGTTAACCCTTTCCTAGAGATCATCTTACTTTTTTTTAATGGAAATGCAACAAGTGAGCCAGTCAAATCCCAGCTGAAAAGAGCTTAGCAAAGTTTGAATTTAAGATGAAATTTCATTGATATAGTGTAACTCTTTAATCTGATGACCAGAAAGTAATGTTTTACATTTTCACCTAATATTTAAAGGAAACTAGGGTTTTTTTTTTATTTTAAAAAGTGATTTCTATTGAACTTCTAAGATATTGACCACATCACTGACCTATCAAAAATCTATCTGTATTAGTTTTGTTTTGTTTTGTTTTTCACTAAAAAGCTATGTTCATTCTAGGCTTCTTGAAACCACAAATCCTCAGATATGCTCAGTCCTAGGCTGAACATACTTGAATTAACTAATTTCCTTCTTTTACTCATACTTCTGGAATCACCCTATAAATCATGCTATTTATAAAATAGAGGTGAAACTCTTGCCTGAGAAAATATTGCTTTTTTGAGAGTACCAGATTAATCTGGATTAATTAATCATCATCTCAAGAGTTGCCCTCAATGTGACTTTGCTGATATAATATGTTGCATGAACATAGAGAACTTCCATGTCTGCTGTGTTTGCTTTTGTATTTCCTGTATGTAGTATAGTGCTTAACAAATGGAAAATGCTCAGCTAATATGCTTTTCAGTAAATGAGGAGGGGAAATGGAGAAATACATAAAGTACTTTTCACCTTATATATATATAACTCTTAAGCAAAATATTGTATAAATCATTTTATATCCAACTAATCACACATAGACCACTCCTATTTTTAAATTGTCCTGATGTTATTAACCATAGGATGTGGTCAGTAAATAATCAAAGACATAGGAACTATAAGGGACAGTTATCAGATTTTTGTTTGATTGATTTGTGTTGCTCTCTTGCATCCGTTTCCCCTCCATAACAGCATCCCAATTTCCTGGTTCCCAGTGTGTATCATCTTGATGGTCCAGTAACTTCAGATTCCTGTCTCCCTCTACAGAAGCCAGGGAGGGCTAACAGGACCTACTTGTCCTGCCGTGATAAAACCAGGAGGCAAGCAAGTGATCTGAGCATGGCCAACCCAATAGTCTCCCCTAGGACTTTGGGTAAGCGAAGCAAGGATGGAAAGAACACTAGAAATAGCTTCCATGAAAGGCAAGGATTAAAAGGAAAGAACTTCCCAATTGCAATGAAATAACCCACCACCAGCGGAACTGTTCTGTCCACTTCTATAATTTTTTTCCTATTTCTCTTCTAAATCCTTTCCATACCTTTTTCTCACATCTGTCCCACATTTCATTTTAATGCCATTTAGACTTCAGGCATTCTCTACCTATTTAGTGCCACTATATATTTAGATTATTAAATATTCCCTTTTGACCCATCCAGCCCTCAAGCCCTTGTTAGGGTCAGAACCTAAGCTGACTCCTCTCTCTTTTGAAATTCTAAGCAGTTTTAGGTTCTCTGCCACTTTCCCTCTTCCACTATTATAATTCTGAATCTCCCTTTCTCAGAAGGCTAATCATCATCAGGTCAGAGCATAGCAGGCAATGAGCAGAGAGGATGATCTGGGATCAGAAAAGCAGTCAACACCTACGAAGCATAAGTTCTGGACATGTGGCCACAAATAATCACATATATTCTTCTAATGCTTTTTTAAAAATTATCTAAAAGGTGGAAATGTATTCATATTTACCTAAAGGATGATCATTTGTGCTCATTTTAATAACACTGTGTGTGGGGGGGAATATCTAATTACTCTTTTACCTAAGTCATCAAGTCAGTAAATGACATAAATTCCCTTTTCTAAAAATATTAATAAGAAACAGTGTCCTATAATATTTAGAAGTTTCTAAATTCACATATTTCACATATACTTCCTCATTCAAAGACCATAACATTGCACATTTCATGTGTAATCGAAAACTTTTCTGGAGACTCTTCCAAAGGCAAGCACACGGGACGGATTTGAGTAGAGATGCAGCAAATAATTTTTGTTAAATGTTGACTACGTTCCAGAAGACAGATGGTATAATACCTACCTATGTAATGTCTGGCTGGTTTTGTCAGGATGATAATAAATCATTTCTGGATTTTCCACCTAAAGTTTCTTCTTTTTTGTTCCTTCCATTCTGCTGTACTTTTGGGTTACAAAATTTTCTCTGTCTCCATTTTCCAGAATCAGGCCAACTATCACTCATGACAATTACTACCTTTTCATGCCCATCCTCATCTTCCAGATATGGGAATAAGCCCATAGTAATAGTTTTCGACCCCAGCTTCCCATCAAAATGCCTTATAGAAGATTTGGAATATAGACCTGCTCAAGAGTCATCCTGGAGATTATAACTGCCTAAGGATCACCAGCTCCCCAGATAATTCTGATCAGTAGCCAGCATTGAGAAATACTAACACAGGAACATAAATTCTAGTTTTAGGGATATATCAGAATGCTAAATCAACATACATTTACCTAAGCAATTATACTCTCATTATAGAAACTCCTACATACAAAACTAACATCAAGGTAGTTGGCATTTGGAGTAGGCCTTTTTTTTTTAATTTTTTTTTTTTATTTATGATAGTCACAGAGAGAGAGAGAGGCAGAGACACAGGCAGAGGAGAGGGAGAAGCAGGCTCCATGCACCGGGAGCCCGACGTGGGATTCGATCCCGGGTCTCCAGGATCGCGCCCTGGGCCAAAGGCAGGCGCTAAACCGCTGCGCCACCCAGGGATCCCTGGAGTAGGCCTTCTTTAAAATCATGGCAAAGTCACTAATTCCTGGTACCTAGAACTCACTCGGCTTATCTCCAGGAATATCCTTTGTATCCAGACTTTTCTATGTCATAGAAATATTGTTAGGGGCGCCTAAGTGGCTCCATTGGCGAAGCATCCAACTCTTGATTTCAGCTTAGGTCATGATGTCCGGGTGATGAGATGGAACCCTGCGTGGAGCTCCACACGCAGCGGGCAGTCTGCTTCTCTCTC